TTGAATTTCGATTCTTCGTCAGTGATTCACAGTTCAGCGTTTGTTGTAACAGGATAGACCTGTTAACGGTTATCGCAATTTAATTTTAATGATTTTTCGTTACTTTGAAGGATTTTTAGCTTGTTTCTCAAAAACAAGAAATTAATAAAAGTTAAATTACGATGGTTGGGGTTTGGTATTAAGGTACTGTTTTTTCAATTGTTATTTTGTTTTTGTCTTTTTTTGGCCTCTCTTGTCTTTATTATCGATTTGTGCTACGAGTACATTTGTTTCTTTTCTAGTATATATGTAAAATATTTTTGAACATTCTTTCGTTGCGATAAGCAATTTATAGTTAGTCTATTTTTTTATTGACATGTTTATTTTGGTTGTCTTCGATAATCTTTGAAGTTGTTATATGGCGAATATTAAATTGTTTCTGTTTTGGACAAACTGAAAAATTTGGGCTCTAATGTTGACTTCTGTTCTTTTGTATTTGGCACTACGGGTTTTGTTTTGGTTGTGGATAATTTAAAAGCGATAGTTTAATTAGTGATAACAGAAGAAGTCGGAACATTTTTTGGCAGGATTTTAAAGCATGTGTTTCTGAAATAAAAGCTATTGTTTTGAGTTTTAGAAGCGAATGAATTTTATAGTCACGTTTTTTCCTGCTCAATAAATTCAAAGAATTATTGTTTTTGTAGCAGATATGTATCGTTTTTTTTTTTTTTTTACCAGTTACTGTATGCCTGTTATGCTGTTGTTTGATAATGCGCTGTGTTCTGTAATCAAATTCTGTGGTTGAGTGTTATTTTTTGTTATTTTTTCTTTTTTCTGTGAAGATGGCGCAAATATTCTGAAACTGTTTATGAGTGCTGTTTTTTAGTTTCTTTTTTCCCATTTTTTCTAATTTTGCTTTTGTGTTAAGTTTTTAACATTCAATAAAAAATTGATTGGAAATATTAGTTTAGCTATTGAACAGGCCAGTTGTTGTTTGTAAGGTTTTTTTTTGAAAATACCGACTAAACGTTACAACAGTTTGGTCATTAACAGTTTGTTAGGCGGTTAAAACAGGACATGTGGGTGTAATTTTTTTTTTGTCACTTGGGCAGTTTGTTTAGTCTAGAATAACAGGAGTTGTATCTGGTGTGTTTTATTTTTTTCTGGCATATATTAAGATTAAGTCTGGTACTTTTTTTTTTGAAGGAAAACGAATGTTTGTTAGGTGACGTAAATTTGAGGTGGCTCAACTGAATCGGTTTTGGTGACTGTCGTTTTCTTAGGTAAACGGCAAGAGCAGGAGTTGTCTGTTTAGGTAGAGAAATGTTTATATTTATTTTTTTTGTCGAGCACTCAGTAGGAAAGGATTATTTAAAGCAAAAAAAAAAAAAAAAA